CGAGGGCGAGGTCGAGACTCCCCAGCCAGCCTCCCTGCCTGGAGCCTTCCCCTTGGAGCCTACGGCTACGGGTCAGAGCACGGCATCTACTTCAACTGCGAGCTTCCATGAGTCAGCTGCTCAAGGTGATGCGAAGCCTTCGAGCACTGGAGCTGCAGCCGCGGGTGTGGCTGCAGGCGTGGTTGCGGGTGCGGCTGCGGCTGCGACAGGCAGCGCTGCGGCGGATTCTGACCCATTTGCTGCGATGGGCCCGAACGACGCCAAGGCTGATTTCGATGATGCATTTGCAAGCTTCACCAGCGCGCACAATAACTCTGACAAGTCGGGTGCTGACACAGCCAAACCCTTCTCAGCTTTTGATTCTGAATTCCCACCCATCTCCGAGCTTGACCGCGACGACGATGACGACGATTCGGATACTGCCAGCGAAGGGGGCGGCTTTGATGATGACTTCGCCCCGGCGTCTCCTCAAGCGAAGAAGGCTGAACCTCCCATGGAGCCCAAGGATGCCGCTTCCCCGACTGTTCCGGTGGCTGCGGCTGCTCCTGCGACAGAGGATTCGGTCTCCCCTACGTCTATCCACAACGCTACTACTGCTACTGCTACAGCAGCACCTACTATTCCGGAGACATCGGAGGCTAGCATTACCCCAGCGCCCACGACTACGCAACATCCGGAGCCCAAGGCCCAGTCTTCCTTTGACGATCTTGATGACGAGTTCGAGGGTCTAGAAGATGCTAAAGAGGGTTCTGCCGATGATGACTTCCAGACGATTTCTAGGTCTGGCTTGGATGATTTCAACCCAGTCTTCGACAGCAGCCCGCCACCCAGCCAAGCCAAGACAGAGTCTACTGCCTTTGGACAAGAAAGCAGCTATGACTTTGGATCAGTATCACCAAACCCGGCCGCTGGCGAGATTGCTGGTGCGGCGTCGAAGAGCTCAGCAGCGGCTCCGGATGCACAGGACTGGGATGCCATCTTTGCCAGTCTCGACTCACCCAGTGACGCCAATGCAAACCCTACAGCAAGTGCTCCTGTTCCTGCTCCTGCTCCTGCTCCTCCCGCAGAGGATACTCGACCAACCCCTGGTAGAGCCCTGACGCACACCGGCGAGCATGACGACCCGATTTTAAAGAACCTCACCAGCATGGGCTATTCGAGAGAGGACTCCATTCTCGCTTTGGAAAAGTACGACTACAACTTGGAAAGGGTAAGTGGATCGATTTCCTTTGAGGATCGCATGCGTCACCCCTTGCGTATGTGACTAACTCTGTTAACAGGCTGCCAACTACCTCGCAAGCCAGTCGTGAAGATAGCAGAACACAATTAAGACGAGAACAGAAACGCAGTTTTATTTCATTATAGGAGGCAAAGGGGCATGTACCCCCATGATTGCAAGCGTTCCATTTTCCCCGCTTAGCCTGGAGATACCTGAATGTGTTTGGAAGTTATTCGGAAATCCCCCCAATCCCAAACCCCGTTACGTCAGGCCGCTCAATCTTCCCTTGGATTGTGGTGGGCCTCCGGTGATTAATGTGTATGTAGGATGTACATGTCGATTCAATACTAGCATAGCAATGTCACAACCCTTTTCTGATGTGATGTTTCCTTGCTCACTGTCTCCCTGCGTAGTTCGTTGGGTGCTCAAGTAGAGCCAATGACAAGATTGGACTAGGTAATGGCTGCGAGCGCTGTGACTGAATACTTGTTTTGGTGGCAACATGCTATTCTTGTATGCTGCACATGAACTTCAGATAGTAGCATTGTTCCCATTACGGAACGTGAATATTCGTGCAGTTGATTTGCTTTCTTGTTGTTGATTGTTTGTTCCATTCGATGAACTTGCTTGACTCCGAAAGCCTTGACCAAAAGACAAAATGCCCATGTGCTTCTTCGAGTGTCCACGTCTCTAGCCTAATTTCAGCCATCACTGCACGTTGGGAGAAAAAGAAGAGAGAGAAAAGTACGTCTAGTACGCAATCTTCCATAATTACACTCTCTTGATGGGAAGAGAGTATCATTGCCACCTGCCGCCCTTTCAGATAACTTCCCACGTTCTTTGCGTGCCCATTTTCCTCGTCACTCGGGCTCGATCGCCCCCTTTTGGGGACTTGCAAACCATTATTTGACTGCAGCTTGCAGTGTATATATAAACAGTGCTGGGAAAGACGGCCTTTCTTTACACCTCAACTTCGGATCTCCTTCCTTACTCGACTTGTCCTCGTCGTCTTCGCGCTCGTGCATCACTTGACCTTGCCCATGATCGTCTCGGGCCCCCTGACAACGTCAATCTGCGCCGCCCTCGCCTTGACGGCGTTGAGCATGCTCCTCTCAAAGTCGTCGCGTGACCGCAGCACCGCCTCGACCCAGTTGACCTGCAGATCCCAGTATGCCGTCTTGAAAGCTTCAAACGTATCGGGGATGGCGTCCTTGTCGACGGTGATGAGTTGCAAAAAGTACTCGGTGACGCGCCATGTCTGCTTGACCGAGTTGCCGACATCGGGATTCGGCAGGGCGCTGAAGTACTCAAACGCCGTCGAGATGTCGTTGAAGAGCTTGTCCTGCACCGGGTCGGCCCGGCGAAACTTTGCGCCCTTGTTACGTACCGACGAGAGGTAGCGCACGAGGAGCTCGTCCGAGAAGATCTCAGTGAAGATATCGACGAGGGAGTGGTGGAGCACCTGGCGGTAGTCGCCGACGTACTCCTCAAACGTCACCACCATCTGCTTCATGGCCGTGCTCGTGTACCACTTGGGAGTAAAGAAGTCCGCCATGACGAGCTTGAAGTCGACCGAGAAAATGAGCTGCACAAACTTTGTGATGCACCACGTGCTGAAGTCGATGTAGCCGTCGCGCAGCAGCTCGACTTCGGTCTCCGCCCGCTCCATGTACGCCGGCGACACGAGGGGCTCAAACTTTTGCTTAAAGTTGGAGAGGTAGCCGAACCTGTTCTCTTCCTCATTGTCGTCAACGCACGCAATTTGATCGTTTGCTGTGGCGACGAGCCAATCTTGAAGGGGCTGGAATCCCTCGAGCTCCGGGACCTTGCCCGTCTCGAATCTAATGGCTTCCTCTTCAAGCATCTTCTGCCACGACTGCTGTCTACCGCGTAATCTTAAGAACATGGCGTCAATGACACCCTCAATGACGTCGATGCGCTTCGAGTTGGCCGCAGCGTCGATCTGCTCGCGCATCATACGCCACATGTCTACGAGGTTCCTGGACCTGAAGTAGCCGTATTCGTCTTGGTCCAAGTTGGAGCCTTCGACGTTGCGTTCTGCAAAGTCCTTCTGTTCCGCGTTGAAGATGCGCTCGATCCATTCGTCGAGGAACTTGATGATGAGCTGTCGGAAGTCGCGGACCAGTTCCGTCTCTCTCGAGTCGATGACGTGGGGTGTGAGATCCTCCTGCTTGAAGCCGAGCTTTTTCATCTTCTTGTAGTACTTTTCCGGATAGTTGATGATCTCCAACGTATTGGCAGAAGCTGCGTCGGGGTCGTCAATCATCCCGGTGAGAAAGTCGTGCATCGTCTGGTGGTATATATCGCCATACGCCTTGAGGATTTTCCACTTTTTGGGCATCAACGGCGTCATGCCCATCTTAACGGCATTCAGGTCGTTGAAATACCACTTAAGAATCTTGTCGAGTGCTGAAGGGTCGTCCAGGAATTCTCCTCTGGCTTCGTTAAACTGGCCCTCTACACTTATCTTGATGGCCTGTGTGAACTTGTCCTTGTACCCTCGCACCTTTTTTGCGCCGTCCGTGATGCTCTGGAAGCGCGTTGCCATCTCCTTGTGATCCTTGAGCGCCTCTTGCAGTGCTAGCACCCTCTGATCACTCTTCTCTTCAGCCTCGATGACCACGGCGAATCGTACCACTAATCCATTATTGTCGTTAACCACCAAGTTGATAAGGTTCAGCGCCAGGATCCCAATGTGCTCGTCAAACCAGTCGATCATGGTGTCGAGCCTCTGGAAGTAATCCTCGAGCGTCGATTCCAGGCTCGGGTCTTCTGCCCTCTGTATCTGCTCCATGGCATCGTCTCGAATATTTCTCAGCTGCGTCAACTCGTAGTGAATAGGCAGCAGGTTGGGCATGTTCTCCTTATCCCCCTCGTCCTCGTCTAGCATGCGGTCGACAATGGCAAGCCGCTCGTTAAACGTCTCAAGGTTCTTGCGCATGGCCTCGACAGCCCCAAAATTCCGGTGGGCCTGGGAGACGAGGTTGATGCTGTTGAAGTCTTTAATCATATTCTGCGACTCGGAACATAGGCGGTCGATCTTGATCATCTCCTCCTTGATCAGCTGCACCGTCTTCTGGCCGTCTGTCAAGCCCGTCATGCCGGACTGGGTGGTCTCGAGCTGCTCGCGCAAGCCGCTGCGGAGCTGGGAGTCAACGGCTGTTTTCTTGCGAGAAAATTCCTGCTTCAGACCGGCGATCTTCTCAAGATCATCTGGGTGGCGGAGGAGCTCCGCGAGCTTAGGGATGGGGGCATCCATAGCGGGCAGGCTCGAGGCAGCGAGGCTTAGGCCGCCGGCTGTCTTGGGCTTGAATGATGAGGAATGTCGTCGATGAATGAGTGGCGATTACTCTATCGGCCGGCTCGGGTATCAGTTGCGCATTCGGTATAGAGGGCTCGGGGGTATTTTCACGGCGTCGTCGTTAATCATGTCGGTGGAGGGTGTGAGGTCTTGGGCTGGGAGGTCATCGCATTGCATGCCGCGACTCGGTTTCGTGTACCTTGCATTGGGGGGGTCCAATTCCCACCTCAAGTCCGGCGGCAGGGAAAGGGAGAGCTGGGGAACTTTGTTGGTCTGTGCGTTCTTGTCCCGCTGTGAGTGACTTCTGCAGCGGCCTGTGCACTTGAGCTGCCAGCACTGCAGCGTAGCGTCTCTACAACAAGGGAAGAAGTGCAACTGTGCTAAAGTGTGATAAGACGGTGTTTGTTTTTTGTTCTGTTGATAAGGTAGTAAACGTTCCTTTTCCTCAATTCTATAATATTCGTGGTATCTCATCCAACTTTCGATTGCCTGCCTTAAGATGCTGTCAGTCCAAGAAATTGCTCCTCCGCTCGATGCCAAGTATGAAAATACATGATGCCTCTAAATTATAAACGAAACACGGATAGCAGGTGCAAAATCCCATCGTCTTATTCAATCATAGACTTTCCAATTTCACTCTGCCAGCCCTCGGCCCTCTCGAACCCATTGGAGTGAGTCTGGTAGTCCATGAGAGCTTGATATACCTCGGCCTTGGAACTCAGGACAAAGGGGCCGTATTGCACGACCTCCTGGTCAAGGGGCGTCCCAGCAATAAGGACGAATCTCGCGTCCTTGTCCGCACCGGCATCAACCTCGACGTTGACGATCTCGCCCTCCTCCTCAAAAACTACATTGTGGAACTCTTCCACCGCCCTCTTCTGCGTCCCCTCGCCAAAAATGGCCTGTCCCTCGAGCGTGTACGCAAAAGCGTTCCACCCCTTGGGCACCGGCTGCGCGATCCGGCCGCCGGGCTTGATCTGAACATCCAAGATCCACACGGGCGTGTACGCCAGGTCTCGCACCGAGTCGACCCCGTGGCTCTGGCCCGAGATGACCTTGACGTGGACCTTGCCGCCGTCGACGTCGACGGTGGGGATCTCTTTGGCCCGCAGATCGCGGTACCGCGGCTCGCAGGCCTTTAGGTGCTTGGGCAGGTCCACCCACAGCTGCAGACCGACGTTGGCGCTGCCGTCTGGGTTCTGCTTGGGCATCTCGGCATGCATGATGCCGCGGCCGGCCGTCATGAATTGCAGGTCGCCGGCCTCGATGGTGCCCTTGTTGCCGGCAAAGTCCTCGTGGTCGACACCGCCGTGGAGGAGGTAAGTGATTGTCTCCTGACCGCGGTGGGGGTGGTCCGGAAAGCCCGAGCCGGGGGCGATACGGAAGTGGTCTTGTAATCTCGTGTTAGTTTAGACTCTACCGTCAAGGGAGGCTCGACATGAGGAGAAGTGAGCAGGCCCGGTTGGGGGGGGGGGGGGGTCATCAATAACTCACCAAGCATCAAAAAGGGTGAAAAGTTCTTGAGCTGAGGCGTGCCGATTGAGCGACGAACGCGAGCACCAGCACCCTCAGCCTGTTCAACGGCCAAAAAGACCTTGCGGATCGCGCGAGGGACAGACATGTCGGTGGCGTAAAGGTGATTGTCTACTTGTGATTCTTGTTGCTGCGAAGACTTGGGATCAAGGTCGAATATGCTTCCGTTCCAAGTATTACTCAAAGAGTTGAAGAAGCTCGTTGCTGTCGCGAATGCTACGCCCACTATGTATTCTCGAAAGCTTACAATCGATGCGATTCCAATGATGATGGATAGCCAGAATGAGAAGGACTTCATTGATGAGGGGTGGTGATCAGGGATGATATATGTAGGCGGATCGCTTCTCAATGAGTTCGGGGATGAGAGTGAAAAGAATCAAGCCCAGATATTCTAGAACGGAGAAGATGAATCTATTTGACCAAGGGCCTAGAAATACGTTGGTTCTCTCCACATTGCAAATACTACTCTAGCCTCAGAAAAGGCGGCAAAGTGTGCAGCAACAGCATCGTGAGGAATCGTCTTATGCGCTTCTCTGGTAAGCAACGACGCATTAGTCAAATTTACATCAGCAATGGGAAAGCACGTCTCTCGCTCTCGCGGCACGAGCCTTGCCCACCATCTCTGCCGGGGTAGGGTACCTAGGTACATCCTTAGTGTCATAACGTCTCGCCCTTCTCATCAAGTTCCTAGCCGATGATCTTTACGTCAGCAATAGACAACCAAGGGACGTGGGGACATTCTGGAAGCTAGGTAAGGTACTGCGTAATACCTAAGGTCAGGTCGGGAAGCTGCAAACAGTTTGTTCGCTCGTCAACATGCTGGCCAATCACCGTGACCAATGACAGCACGCAAGAGCCGCCAATCGACAGCAAGCAACCTTCCCCAGTCGCTCTTTCTCCTCCCCAGATCTTGCAGCGGGTTGATCTGATGTCGAGTGCGACTTATTACTCTATACTGCCTTTACAGACACGAAAAATGGGATATAGCATTTGAATTACTCTTGAATGCCCTGCGCGGTAGCTTGTGCGTCTACATACATCCAGGACTTGGGTCTGTGCGAGTGAGCTCCCATGCTGGCTACCTAAGTTCTTGGTCTCACGCGGTGCTACGTCACACGCCACGACAGGCTTGGTCAGGAAACACAGAGTATCTATTAGAGATTTTGATTCCTATGAAAAATCCGACACCAACTCCAGCTCCAGCACAAGTTCAACCTTTCGAAAAAGACTTTAACGTCGGCCGAAAGTCAAGCCGTGCTCATCAACCCTGAGGGAAGATCGGGCGCCTTGGTGGGCGCCATCAGCCACGGTGGGAATAGCCCAAGTCCGATTGGCCTTCGAAAATGAAGGACCAGAGCGGCGCACTAGATGCCTAGCTCTCTCTTCCTCACTCGTACACCACTGATTGGAATAGACAAAGGAAATCAACATAGCACACAAAAACAGTACATGAAAAACTCTTTATCCGAGGTATAGATTCCGTTCCTTGCTGCATGTCGTAGAAGCATTCGCCATCATGACTACGGTCCCAGAACCTATAAGTAGTTCAAGAAAGCCGCGAAGGGAGGGAAGGGTATATGAAATGGAGGGTGGGTTGAGGTGAAACGTCGGCAGGCTAGCAAGCTGTACAATCGCGAGCCATGGCGCTTAGTTGTTGACCTTCTCATTGACCACGTCCTTGGCCTCCTCCTTCTTGTAGTGGATGACGTCGCCAACCCAGATAATAAGTTCACTGGTGGTGATAAGGGCGGTTCCGATAAGGGCCTTGCCGTATGCAACAACGTTCTCACTGCCGACCTTCTTCTTCTGCTGGCTGAACGTCTTCAGAACGTGGTCCTTGGCTTCGAAACCAGTGCGAATGGGCAGGGCAATGATGCCCTTGGCACCGGCGTACAGCTCCTCGGTGGGCTTCTTGACGACGGGGAAGCGCTCGTCAACCTTGGTCAGGGCCTGGTCGCCGAGGTTGTCTGCCTTTTCGGCATAGGGGCGCAGGTATCCCCAAGGACGAGCGAAGTAAGGGAGAAGAGGCTCGGCAAAGGTCTTGTAGGCAGAGTCGCTGTAGACCAGGGACTTCTTGCCGACGGGGTGGTTCCTGAAGGTAACGACACCGTCGTGTACTACAGGGTAATCCAGGAAGTGCTATCCAGAACGGTTAGTAAGAGATTGCGATAAGAGTACAAAGGCGGACGCATTCATTGATAACGCACCTGGAGGGCAGCCGAGGGCACGCTCGGGAGGTCACCGTTGACTTGGGCCATTTTGGGCATTTAGTAGATTGGCGAGAGTTGCGTGGGAAAGTTGAAGGTATTAATTCGTCGAAGCGTGAAGCCTGGCGAATTCTGGTCGAGAGTTGAAGGAGGATTCGCTGCGGAGTAAGCTCGTGCGCAAGGGGGGGGGGGGGGCTTGCGGCTTAGGAAAGCTGCGGTTGAGGCTCCGGGGTAGGGTCTCGTAGTGGGTATGGAGGGTTTGCTAGACGATTCGATATCAGAACTGATCGAGTCCAAAGCAGGGCGAAAAAGGCTAGGAGAGTGAAGCGAGTCGAGATATGTGTTGGGCGGTAGAATTGGGAGTGTAGGAAGATGGAAAGGCTTTGGGTTGTTGGAGAGGGAAGAATCAAGAGAAGGATGTATAGTAGGGAGGGAAGAGTAGTAGGTAAGTCAAAGCCAAAAGGGAGAGACGAGACAAGACGAGACGCACATGAGAGAAGCGTAGAAGGAGGAGGGCAGAAAGGGGAGTGAGTGTGAGAGAAGGAGGGAGACTCACAGATAGCGGTAGAGGGATGTCGGAGACCGAGAGGCAGCTGGTTGGATGGAGGAGAGGCGGCTGGAACGGAGAAGAGCGTGTACAGATGGATGGTGACGAGGTTGGCGCCACAGACGGGCATGGACTGAAATGAAAGTATTTATCTACGTCTTGGTCGAGACGACAGGACAGAACAGGTGAGAAGATGAGAGCATGAGAAAGAGCCCACCTCACCACGTCTTGTTGTATGGGGCTGGCCTAACCATGTTGCCTGAACCCCTTAGGATGCGAGACTAGATTGATTAGCATGTGCTTCAGACATTCACAGGTCGAATGCGAGGAAAGGGACGCCCAGGAATGCCGTGGTGGCGGGTCCGGCCCAAGTATCCCTACCAACGAGGTACATGCGCCACATGCCAGTGGGATGTCGTCTTTTTTTTTTTCTCTTCGTTTGGTCCCTTCTGCTTGCTGCTCTGTAGGTAGCTGTTGTTCATGCTATCTTGTGTGCTCCTCTCTACAGACTGAGCCCTGCCTTTTTGGGACCGCTACTTGCACTGGTTTTAAAGCAATGCATTGGTGGTACTGTCGAGATGTCAAAACCATCCATCTGCTCAATTAATGTTGCGGAGAGTTAATGACAATTGCCACAGCCGGGTAGATGTTCAAGAGGTAAGTAAGGCAAGTGAGGTAGGTAGCAGCTCAAGCCACATGCTATAGCACCTTGTACTGCTGACGGCAGCTTCTAAAGCACGTATCCCTGTCCGTCCCGCCCGTGGGCAGCAAAACCCGCAGGGCAGGTGCATGTGCACAAGCACCTCACATTGTCGCATTGTTCGTGTAGCTATCTTTCATTGGGAGAAACAGCTTCAGCAGCAACTCTAGTGATGGCAAGAAAGAGGACGTAGCGGTAAGGATATCTCAAGGTAGGACGGATGAATACATTTGGCAAGGCGACCGACGTTTCCGTAGTATCAAACTTGTCTGTGGCTGTAGCAAGCAACAACAGCAGCACCAGCACCAGCAATGGCTTGCATGCATCCCTATCATGACCCCGGCTTCTGACATGTGAAAGTGGCACACGAACTCTCGCCCCGCCAAATCGTGTCAAAGTGGAATGCTGGAAGGGACGGAGAGAGTTAAAACAGAAGGCAAAAGAGGGTCTCGGCCGTGACAACTGGACAGGGCACCTTTTTATTTTTGTTTCTTCGTCATGTCGATTCTACGGTCAGCAGATAGGCACACTAGACATATGATCCATCCTCATGCCCCGTGGTTGAAAAATGGTACTATGCTTAAGGGCTCCAGGAGCAGGCATGTGGTCCAGTCCAAGAGACGAGAACGGTGGTAAGGCAAAGGTGAGGAGGAGGAGAAGGAGGGGGAGAAGGAGGGGATAAGCTCCCACACTCGAGCAGTGCCGTCACAGACTCGCAGTCGCAGCCGCGTTCCTGAGATGCTCAAGTGCTGTGTGCCCTGCGAATTGTTGGCCAATTCGGTTGCGTCTGGATCAGACCATTGATGATTGCAGTTCTCCAGCGAATGAACGGAATCGCCCCTCTCTCCCCCCTCTCCTTCCTTCCGGCACGGAAGACATACGCGAACGCACGGCGCTTTCCTGCATGCCGTGGACGGACCCGTCATTATGTCATCATTGGAGTTGATGGTGCAAGCAGCAAGTCAGCAGCAAGAAGGAAGCATGGGAGGGGAGGGAGGGGAGCTGCTCTTGCTCTGGAGGTAAGGTTAGTAGTCGACTACCTACCTACCATAGGTACCTTACTAAGGTACCACAGTAGGTAGGTATTAAAACTGCCACACCGAAAGGGAGGCGGGAGAGGAAAGAAGCGCCCGGTCAACAAGTCGCTGCTCAACACGTATGCGTGCCTTATCTGACAGTTTGCCGGAGCACCCGCTGATCTGTGTCCTCGCCGACGGGTTACTTCCACCCATCACCACCTCTACACTCGTGTCCAGTCTGTGAGTTGCGGCTTGTTGGATCATGGACGACATGAGGCGCTTTGAATGACATCTGCCTCGAGCTGTCATGCATTGATTATTCACTCATTCATTTCTGCAGAACTGGTGGTTCGTTCGGAGGATGATCTCCGCAGTAACTATTCTCGTTCCCCTCTCCTACCTCTTGTTACAATATACTTGTCTCCTTCACCTTACTCTTCCCTACTTCGCGAACACGACGTACGGATATACCATCTCAAGTATCAAGGAGGGGCAAGAGACCCCCAAGTTCCTCCCGCAACCCAATTGGCCATGCGCCCACCCCGGCTTATCGCCTCACATCACCCCAAACTTTATCACGGGGAGATCCCAAGCCAACGGCTGGCGCTCGTCCTGCACCACCACGCCCTAGGCCCAAATAGCGGGACACAGCAAGCCAAATTGGAGGACGAAGCTTCGCACTCTTCTTCACCTCCCGGGGCTCTGGTTGCTTCTACTCATCAAAAAATCCCTCCGTCGCGTACCGACCAGCCCAAGGTACCTGACCTAGCTAGCCTTGTGGCAGACGCTTGGATGCGATGCTACGCGGCCCGGTCTTCAGCCCACTCGAGCTTGTGGTAGGTGGACCGTGGGAGGGGGAGGCCCGGGAGAGTCCTCTCTGCGCCTCCGATCTTGCATTCCGTTGCTTGTGAAGCTCCTCGTCCTGGCGCTGTTTTCTCCTTTGGAATCTACATTGGCCGTCTTCGTAATGCTGCGTGACGCCGTCGCTGCTCTCCCAGAAATTAGATATAACTTGATCCGTGACAAACCACTAAGTACGCCAGTCACCCTTCCCAATCTCCAATTCACTTCCGTGAAGCTATGGCCTCCGTCATTTGTTGATGAGCACACAAGCTAGGTGCTCAATCACTCAAACCCGTCAGACGGAATTCGCCTCTCGGAGCTCGGGCTGTGGCCCTACTCTCCTAGGCACGCTGCCGCGGCTCTCATCGTCGACCATGCCGTCTTAATCCAGCTTGGCCGGGTGAACAATCAAATAGCACCTCGGAAGCCAAGCATTGAGGACGACATGAATCCACCTATCTGTCCTCCGTCGCCACTTTCAGTAGGTCTCATCTCTCACCTGACTGGCTATCGACGCGACGACCCGTTTCTCGTCTTCCCATTACAAGCAATACTCGGCCGTTTTCTGCTCCTATCCGTCAAAGATAAACCTGAAAATCATCGGACAATTTTGATGTGGAAGGGGGGAAGGAGCGAACCTCCCCTGTCCCCTGATGGTGTTCTCTCAATTGTCTCCACCTGCACCAGCCACATGTGCCCACATTCACATGTCAAGCAATGTCTCACCTACCTGCAGGGACAACCTCAACGTTGAGAGTTCTCTTGCGACCCATTCTGCATGCCAGTGAGAAGTGACGTGAACACCTGCGGCACCTTTTTCGCCAGTATGAGAAGCTGTAGATGCTGGAAGGAACTGAAGAAAGGTCGGATGACGCGGGAGCAAAAGGCATTATTTTGGCTCTCGTGTTCTGCTGTCATGTTTTGCAATCCTCTTCGAATTCGTCATTCTGCAAGCCTGCGACAAATCGTCATAATCCTCAGGCGCGAATGCGCTCCCAACGTCACGGCTAGTCTTTCAGGAGAGACATACTACCAAAGGTGTGCAGAGGCGGGAGGGAGCACTCGCCTCCCGTCCCATCCATCCCTTGCGAAGGCGAGTAGGCATCCGTACCTACACACACGCTTTCCTCCCATAGATGTTGGACGGGTGTGGATGCCCCTGCATCCTGCGTGAGAACTCAGCATCTTGGAAGTGTGCCATCCACCTCAGTTGTTGGAAGGAACGCTTCCTTCTGCAACGTAAGTGGGAAAAGAAGAAGAAAAGGGGACCAGCTCGCCACCTCACCCGATGGGAATGCGGCACTCCGCAAGTCTTGGCTGGGCTCGTCGGCCTTGGCTTTGCTTTGCATAGCCGAAGGGCCTTTTGACCGCTTCGGCTGACTGGCAAGCGCGAAATTGCGGCGGTCCGGTATCGCTAATCCCGATGTTCGGACTCGGGTTCCGGGAAAAGAGGGGGCAAGATCCGAAGGCTCCGGGTTGTATGCAGAAGACGGCCCCATAATATCTCCGCATCCGATCCGTCATGGCCGGGGATGGGATGAGGGATGGGAGGCGGGAATTCCGGTGCTGGAAATGCGCTGGAAGCTGGCTTCGGAATAATTCGACAGAAGCCATTGTGTTCCATAGGATACCTGCAACGTGTTTGAGCTCCGGCTATTGCTTCATAGAATATGGTCTGAGTCAAAGGATGGCGGGTAAGGTACGTCCAATGGCACCGAAACTGGGAAAAGTTGACCGATCTGGTTTTTGGGAAGAATCGCCTGATAAGTTTGAAACTTCCGTACGACACTTGACGAGGGTGTTCTTGTTGATGAATCAGCTCCCAGAGGCTGCCATGGAATGGGTGACTTCTTTGAATCTTTTCCTTGACAAAGAAAAGAGAGGCGCCACAAAATAGGTGACCAAGGTGGCCTCATCAAGCTTCATAAGCTTCGCAAGCTTCGTCAACTAAAGGCTTTTCAACCAGAAGTTTGATCAGACCCGTGCCGCTACAGATGAGATCTTTTACCGATATCCGCTAGTGACGTCGGTAAGTGGAATCTAAAAGGCTTTGCCCGAGAAAAACAATAGAACAAGTCCCCGTCACCAAGAATAACTCGACGATGCAAAGCGCCGTTCGCTCAGTTTCATTGTTTCGAAACGTGAGGCTAGATCTTTTGCCCAGAGCTATCACGTGGACTTGACCACCCCCACCACGGAGCGGCCGTGGCTAGCAATGATGCCGTAGCCCCGTCTTTGAACCTTTCTAGACCAGCATAGCAGACCGTCCTGCCCTGGAATAGCATCGCGCCGTCCTCCCGGCGCACGAGTCTCGCCCCGTGTCGATCGCGCGGCTCGCCTGGCTGGGAAAGACGGTTGCCAAGCCTCGTGAAAACTCGCAGACAAGACACAAATTCGGTATCTTGCGGAGGCAGGATTCATGCTCTTACAGTAGGCCGTTTTGTCGCAAGTACTAGATCCCTCTCGGCATGTTGTTGGTGCCTGTTGGGTTGGTTTGATATCGTCAACATCCAAAACTTGAGCCGTCGAAGGCTCTAAGTCGAGTCACGGGGCATAGTTGAACTTTGACCGGGGAGTCCGATATTGCAACACGAGGTGATGTCGACAAAGGCTTCCGCAGGTGATAGATCACCCGCAATCGAGAAGGCCAAGAATCCGCGCAGCGTCGGAGCCTCAGAGACGACTCATGAGATACTCGCCCGAGGACGACGGGGGGTACTCGAACGAAGGAAGACGCTTCGTCGAGAAACGAACCGAATTTCTCGGGGCTCCTGGCGGCAGTCAATATTGATTTCCAAACACCTCAGGACGGACTTATCGCACGGCCGGTTCAGGAGATACGAATTGCTGACCTTGACTGTCAAAGTTTAAGTGAACCACCTCTATCACCTTTTTAAGAAATGAC